AGGAAGAAGATGATGGCAAATTTGTAATTTTGGTGGGTCCCATTTTTGTTGGGTTGGGCAAGGAGATGACATGTCACGTTGCCATGTCATTATTTATTTATTTATACAACTGACGTGTCTCAAAAGTTTGACATGTCATTAAATTGTCTGAGATAATGGTGAGATTTTAACGGAAGAACCAAATCGGGGTAAAAATGGTAAACAGTAAAGATCAAATCAGGGATTTTTTTAGTTTAAAGACCAAATCGGGGATCCGTACAATAGTTCAGGGACCAAAAAAGGGTTTTAACCTTTTATATAAATAACACATGTTAACCACAAAAAAGGGAACAAAATGAAGAGTTTCCCGCTTCTGCTTCTTTCGAGGCAAGTCCTTTGAAATAATACTCCGAAACAATCGAAGGCAAGAACAAGAAAATTGGGTGAATAAATATGACAAAGAAAAGGTGAGCGCTTTGCTGCTTTTTCTCTATTGTATTGGCACAACAAAAGGAAAAGCCGATATCCAAAATACAAAAATCAGGCTTTTCTTTTTCTGTTTTTTCCTTCCTGCATAAGTAATTAAATAAAGTGATGGGAAGCACAGAGAAGTACTTCCCTTAATTGCATGTAATCTATCAACAACAAACAATGAAAGTTGAATAGACAATCTGAACCAGTGCTTCATTCCCACAATGAACAAGCATGTGTCTCAAATAAGGGCCAGCTACTGCCTGATCAAGCATCGAGCGGGAACCGGTGTTCTGGCCACTTGGGATATGCACGCTTGTACAAGCTCAAGCATACAGTGTCATGCTGCTGGAGGACGCCATTGAATACACATTTCATTGCCCCTGAGAAAAACCCAAGAAGTCAGTCCTTAAATCACAGAGAAAGAAGTCCAAATCGAACCCAAGTCTAAATATGTTTAGGATAAATATATTTCCTTTTGTATTTGCTACCGCAAGAGGTCTAAAATCACTCCCCAAAAACACTGATTTCAACATGGATCATTAATGGTCATGATACAAGTAAAGTTTCTCCTCTATTTTTCAAAATGATGTTCCTTTTCCAGTCCCCAATTTCTTTATGATCAAACACCAGGCTTCTTATGATCTTGAATTCTAATGGTGGCAAAAAAAGAGGCAGCAATATTACATTTTTCAAGTCAAGTCGAGAACACCACACACACACACACACATATATATATAGGCATTTAAACTAAAATCACATACCATGTGTACCAATAGGTTCCTTGATTCGACCACGGCGACCGCATTTTGTCCAAACTTCAACAGGCTACAACCACCCAAATCAAGAATTTCAAATGTAATAATGTATAATGATTCTTTCATAATCTTAATGATAAATGAGACTATCTTACCTTAAACCATCTCACATCATCTGGGTTATGGAACATATATCTAACTGAGGCTTTTAATTTTGACACTCGTTGAGGATAACTGCATCAAAATATAATGAAGGCTTGTCACTCAATTGTCCAAGATATCTAATTCAATGCAGTCATGTTAAATAGACAAAGAAGAGAATTTCTATAACAAATAAGATCACAATGATTAATTACCACCCAAGATATAGAGTAAAAGACCGTACCCAGTCAAAATAATCTTCTTCAGAATTATTCTATCAGGGTCAATATTTTTCAAGGAACCAACAGCAGCCACTACTGGTGCACTTTTTTCTCCTGAACTCTTCAGGGCTATCAAAGGAAGAGGGGGAAAAGAAATAGGAGCATATATTGAAGCCATGGAAAAACGACCTGCATGAAGAAATCTGTCCATCTTGTGCTTGTCTGAATTGATGTTGTCAGTAGAAAATACTGGCCTGCAAAGCAACACAGAATGGCCACCAAACTTCAATAAGAAATCATACCCACATTTAGACTTAAGGGGCAAACAAATCCTCATTACCTAGCAATGAACTGGCGGAAACCAACATGAAATATCAGTTCATCTTTGCTCTTGATAGGAGCATCATAACTGTCGTGCTTTTTTATACTGCAATCAGTAATAATCTCATATTATGTAAAGAAAAGGACATCTACGAACCAGAAACAGACAAATTAAGGAAATTGTATGATTAGTTACCTGAAATGAAGGACAGACATCTTTGATTCGTGTTGCAAAAGGCCACATGATACAATAGGTATTGTACTAGCAAGCAGACAAAGCTTGGAAGCAACAGAAAGAGGCACTTGCTTGATATGGAGCCTCACATATGAACCAGCAGGTGCACAGTCATCTCCTCCCTCCATTTCCAAGGCTTTTGCAATCACATGCTTTTGAGTTCTTGAAAAGTTATCAAAAGCAAAAATTCTGGCATAATCTGGTGGAAGAGATTCCTGATAATCACCAACTGAACTTTTAATAGACAGCTTTGAAAATGGGCAACTGGATAGAATAACTATAAAAGTGGATTGTGGTTATATCACCTTGGGGTCCCATGAGGAAGTTCTGAAGGATTTGAGGCCTCTATACTTGGCAAAGCGTTTTCTAGCAGGAACATCTAAAGGAGTGTCCACTTCATCTGGAAATTCTGAAACATAAAAATTTAGTATTAGCAATTAATTTTCAATGATATATAAGGAAATGCTTGGTTCTGCTAAACATAACTTAATGATCTAAAAATGTTTTAGAGAAAATGCTGGTGTTTTGCGCAGAAAGAAGATTGAATTAATTTTTCTTTTCTTTCAAAGCTGCTTCAATGTTGCTTTACAGCTTCTCAAGGCCAGAGGCATTAAGCAGGAAAACCAGATCCATCCTGGATTCTGACATACCAACTCCAAGTAACAACTAAAAGATACGTGAGGTTATATGCTTCCTAAAAAGTTGATAACAAACAAATATTGAGAATCCATGAAATTGTACAATGTCTGAAATAGAGAGATACCCTCATCTTCAGCATGGGCCTGTTTAACTTTTTGAATGTCTTCCTCTAATTGTTCCCTTGTTAGGTTCTCTCCTTCCTGCATGGAAAAAAAGCAAGTTTAAATCCTGAGCATATGGTAATGATTTCATGCATTGAGGAGGGCTTTGCCAGAGCTGGGAGAAGATCACATATTGTTACTTTTTTCTGAACAGGCAACATGAAATAAAAAGATAAACAAGAGAAAAGAAAAGGCCAAACTTGAAAAAAAATCTAAAAAGAAGGGATGAATCCCATTCCTACTAGCATAAATGGGTACTCTACCATTGAGTTAGCAACCACAAAAGCTCCAAATTTATGGATACAATTGGAATAAAAAATAAATAAATTTCATGACACAATAAAATAAAAGCATTCAATTAGCAAGAAGTTTTATTTTATCAAAATTTATAGTCAAATCTGAATATTAAATGGTGAGATCAGGTCAAAATACAAAAATTTTTCAGATGTTTTGACAAGAATAAGAAAAGGTTTTTCTACCACAAAACACCCTAAAGTATGCTGACTAGTGTATGACAATATAAACTTTGCAAAACAGTTTCATCTAATTGACCATGGTGAAGTCACCAATGGACTTGGTAGATCATCCACTTTGTCGAGTTTGAAGAGAGGGGGGTGGATTTTGGTGTTATAACTGGCTATGAGGGTGGGAATTACAGATAACTTTATATACAAGAAGTCAAAATGGAACTGGTACAAGTGAATAGAAAAAAGAATTGAAATAAAAATCTTTCAGGACTTTTGACTTTCAAATGTGAACCAGGTCTACAGATTGGACATCTAGGGCTAAGGGTAAACCACTGTTTTGGAGTGTGCCCTGAGAACAGTAAGAACAAAAACCTACATGATATGTGCACTAAACAAAGTTGAAATTACTGAAGACTCTTTATGCTAAGGGTGCAAAGAACTAATGCAAGTAAGTGTCATACCATCATGACTGAATCATTTGCAGTTTCATCATCAGAGTCCCTTAAGTTTAAGGAAGCTTGGTCTTCTTCAAAGTCTTGGTTATTAGTACCATCTTGACTGTGAAAGCCACTTTCTCCTTCATCCAATACCATACAATTGTCATCATCATTGTCAGTATCAGAATCCTCCTCATCCGCATCATCTACAATCCAAGCAGCCTGCAAAAAATTTGGTCAATTATTAAAGTTAGATCTTTAAAATTTTAAATAAATTTTGAAACTACAGAAGTCAACAAGAGAGACATCCAAACCTGATATTCAGAAGTGCCTGGAGGAAGCATTCTCTTTCTTAGCCTTTTTTGCTTTAGGTTGCTATCAGCCTCAGCCATTTCTGCTTCTGTTGGCCATGTCTGTTCAGGGGAAGAAGAAAAGAAAAAATCATTACAAGGATGAAAGAAGAAGACAAATCACCGATTACAAGAAACTAAAATTGCCAGATAAGGCAAAGGAAATGAATGCAAGACAATCACCTAAGGTTGGATTCTGGCAACTAGATTACCTTGTCAATGATAATTAAATGGATTGCTTCCCAAAAAGATCAAAATTTGGTTAACTCAACCATTAACGATTCTCATTCTTAATTCAATTTAGTTGCACTCACACTCAAAGCAAATTCTTCCCATGTTTAAGTCTAACAATAGTTCTTGATTTTAATCACAGGATTTCATTTTTTCACATTTTCTGAGAAAGAAGACTGTACTTCTTTCAATATTCCAAATAAATATAAAAGATTTAAGAGGGCCAGAACATGACATAATAAACTTAAGATATAAAAGATTTAAACCTTCCCCAATTACCTGTTCTCCAGCAAGTGGATCTGGAACATTTTCAACGAGTAAAGGATCCTGCTTCAACAGATCAGGGTCTAGGCAACAAATGACCTGGAATTTTGGAAAGAATGTATATATTTAAAGCAGTAAATATTTAGAGCAGTAACAAAGGGAGAAGAAGAGATTAATATGAGGCTCATGATTACTAAATCAGTTTGTAAGAGGAAAAAAAAAAAATAAAGTAACTCTACATAAATAAATTTTCCTTTTCTGATAAAAAAAAGGAAGAAAAATTAAAGTATTGTTGATTTCATGTCCATTGATAAGGCAGAAACACTATACTCAATACAAGTAAAAAACATTAGCAAAAGGCTCAAAGTTGTGGAGCACATTCTGCAGAAGCAGCTGAAGAGAGGAACCATGTTGGTCATGATCAATCTCACAGTTCAACCACTTTGCACATATTAAAGGACATGAATAATACCTTAACATCTCTTAATTCATCAGAATCCATGGCATCCTTTTCTTTTCTTGCATTAAGAGGAAATGGGTCTTTTAGAATTTCAATTTTGGCCAGCTGAAAATCCCCTGCACCAGAAACATGGACCTGACACAAAATAAACACAAGCATGACACAACTTACCAGATCAACCCAGAGAAAACATAACTTCAAGGTTAAAATTATTACCAACTGATTCACTGAGAGGCTACATGCACGAATATAACCAGTGAGAAGGAGCGTACTCTTTCCTGGACTGGAATCATCTGGTACCGTAACAACCTAAAATGTAGAGGTAAATGGAATTATTCTGAGAGTGAGTGAAGAACCAAAAGGAAATTAATAGCAGTGTAAAATGATTTGAAACTGAGTACTTCCAATATCAACATGTCACTCATCTTCTCTTTTGCATACAGTTCAACAGCCCTCCAACCTTTTTCACAGTCTCTTTCATACACTACATATAATACAGCAGAGTATATGGCTAAAAGTTAAAAATAATTCAAAAACTACCTCTTGTGCCATGAGATAAGGCCGTTGATTTCGCCAGTGAGGTGCTGTGAGCCTTTGCTCCTTGAAAAGCCACAAAAACTGTAATAAAATGTAAGGATAGATGTCAAGGAGTGCTAAAAAATGTGAATAACAGGCTGCAAACATTAAGCATGTCTTATCCTCAGATATATTAAAGCTGGAATTAGTAGACAAAATTAAGAATCACATGATAAAGAAAACCCACCTTGTGCAAGTCATCCTTTGTATCTGCTGAATAAAACTTACAATCCTCTGGAAATTCAGAAGCAAGGTTATAGGTACACATCTTTTTTAACTCATTTTTCTTTTTAAGCTCGGAAGGTAAATCCTGCAGAAAAATTTTTAGCTACATGTCATATACACAGATATTTCATGGGAAATGTCCTGAGTACAGTTAACACATCAGCTGAAAACTTACACGAATCAAAACTGCAGTACTCGGAAGACCAATTGACCTAAACACAGAAAGGCATTGGTTTCCAAATGAATCAACAAAGTCAGATGCACCTTCTTCGCATAAAGAGCTTGCTGATGCCACAAAAGCAATCAAATCAGCAACCTAAAATTCAAAAAAGTTATGTCAGCTGTGAATGCAGAGAAAAAAGGCTGCAAGCTTGAGATGATAAACATGGAAAATAAACAGATGGTGAAAAATTTTATACCTTGGCCATTTCCATACACGATAATAGATCCCCATAAGGAGCTTGCAGTACCTAAAACACAAAACATCCTTTTAGATTTTTTCTAAACTTTCACATAACAGCATACATTACACCTATCCAATATACTGTGCATACAGCTGAAAGCCTACCGTAGCCCTGAGTCTGTATTCTGAAGAAGCAACTGTTGACGACGTATACCCAATACCCTCTGTAGATATTAATTTTAAAATATCTCCCGCAAGTAAATTCAGATTCACAGAAGCAGAAAGCGGGAAAAGAACCTGCCACAAGAAATCACAGGAATGAAAAAAAGCTAAACAATTAAAAATGAATAAGAACAAGAGGTTTTAGCTCAGATAAATGCTCACGATAACACGAGGAGGGCTGCCTGATGAAGCCCTTTTCTCCTTCAAAAGAGCTGCCCGTTTTTGCTCTCGCAGCTACACAATCGCACATTTTGAGTAAGAAAACCGCAAAAATACAAATCAAGAATGAGAAATAATGCAAAATCATCATCATTCACCATCTTGCTGCGCTGATGCCGAGCTGCCCGAGCTCCCTTCGTTGCATTGCGCTCTGATTTCGCAATCCGACTCCTATCTGATGCAACAAAAGATCAAAAATTAAAAACTCCACTGGGATTCATAGAAACAAACTCCATTAAAATCGAAGAAAAATTAAAATCGAATTGAATCTGTGAAGGACCATTAAGGGAGGTCTTGTGAAGGTTGCGCGAAGATTTGGAGGAGAAACGGGATTTGTGAGCTTTGTTGATTTGAGCTCGAGACCCTGCCATGGCAGGGGGATCTCCGGCTAGGGTTTCCGGAAAGCCTAACACCGCTGGCGATTTAGATCGTGAGGGGTTCTGCAAAACCCTAGCTTAGCAGCTGCAAAAGGGTTTTAGTTCAGTTAATTGGTTTGGCGCTGGTTAGGTTTAAGGTTAAAAATCTTGTGCACTCGTGCCTATTTTATGTTTCCGAGTTCCACCACTTCTTAAGTTTGACAAAGTGTAAATGCTCCAAAATATGTCCTTCCACGTTCAACTTTCCTCAATAAAGCACAAATCTCAAATTAATTGTTGGTTTAGTTTGGTTATGATTTTTTATTTTTTATTTTGAATTAATTTTCATACACTTTATAATTACAAAAGATTAACTTTTTTAAAATTAAATTTTAGTACTGATAACTAAAAATATAAACTTATTTAATATAGTATTAAAACTATTTTTGTTTAAAGTTATAAAATATATAAAAATTAAAACCAAAATTTTACTAAAGGGAGTTTTAAATTTCTTCTATATTACTAACATTTAATATTTTATAATTATGTCAATTTCATTTATCAAATTTCGTACTAAGTTAGTGCAATAATAACTAAAGAATTAAATTCATAAATATGCAAATATTGTTTTATGAGTGATACTTATGGCTAAGGCCTTAGGCTGATGCCATCGCTTGAAAAAACTTACATAACAATTCCATATCTTCATTACTTTTTTTTTAAAAAAATTAGGGTTTATCGACTAAAAATGAAAAAAAAAAAGAAGAAAAACTTATTTCAATAAAGTATTATAAAAAAAAAGTAAAATAGTTTCATTTTTATTTTAAAAATTAAGATATTTTAGTCTTTGTAGAAGGAAATTAATTAAAATAATGGAGTTTGTTCTATTTTTTATCTAATTTTTTGTGAACATAGCTGATTAAGAGACTATTTGAATTTTTTTATATTGTTGATAATTGATAGTTGATATCTGATACTAATAATTATTATTATTTATAATTAAAAGTACCTAATTCATTTAATTAAAATTAATAATTAATAATTATTTTTAAAATGTTAAAACGAACACCCCTTAGCATTTTCCCCCTTCTTTTTCTTTTTTTTTTTTTTTTCTCATTCTCATTGATTTTGCAAAGTCGTTTATGTTGTATTTGGGAATATGTATTTGTATTTGGAATGTGTATTTTAAAATACACTATTTGGATTGAATAAAAAAATGAATTTCAAATATATATTTTTAAATATATTTTTTGGATATATTAAAATACTATGCATTTAAAATTGAATTTGTTCTATTAAATTAAATCTTCTTCTAATCATTATTTAAACTCAATAAGACTAAAGTTAACAATTTTAGTCTTGCAAAGCATTATTTAAATTATCTCAAGACAAATAAATTGGATAAAATGAAAAAGGAACAATGACCTCTAATAATCAATTTATCTTCATTTCTTAATTTTTTGTTTATTTTTTCCATTGCTGTACAATATTCAATTTCTACAAGGATGGATTTATTACGAAAGAACTTCACTATAAAAGATAAAGGAACAAAGTAGTATGTAAAATGATTATCAACTATGTTTGCATAACAATGAATGTTTTGATATTTCCTCTTGAAGAGGTAAAGGACAATTTACAATCAAATTGCCTTTCATGGCCCTTCTAAATATTGCCTACAAGGTTGAAGAACAAGGTTAAGTCAAAGTTAACCTCAAGAATACGAGAAAAACTCAACAAATTAACATAAATTCACTTCAAAAATAAGAGAAAAACTCAACAAAATAACATAAATCAACCTCAAGAATAAGACTTGACCAAAATAAACAACTAAAACAAGTTTACCAATTAATCACTAAACTAGCCATGTATCAAATTTATCACTAACCTACACTTAGAAGGAAAGCCAACCAATCATATTGCTTGTCATTTGGAACTGATTTTAGCAAATAAAATTACTCAGGATCACTATTTAATAACAATTGGATTGCCTTGAATGTTTCTTGTTGTGAAAGACCCAAAACTTTTGAAACTAGTTCACATATCTTGACCACTTGGTTTCTTTTTCAAGTTTATGTACTCTTTGGGTGATGAAGCAATGTCACCAGCAATAGCAACCAATGGATCTTTCCTCCGTTTCTTTTGATGGGACTCTATCGTAGACAATATGGAAGGCTGTGTTAGTGGGATAGGAGGTGATATTGAGCACTCCACATCATTTTCATCATTTCCCATCATTGCTTCATCAACAATTTCAAAAGTGTTAGCACCTTCACCAGTTGCTCTATATGTCCCACACAACATCATAATATTATCCTACCTTTCTATTGGTCTATTTTCATATTCATTTCCCTTTCCATTCTCTCGAACATGATCTTTCCATGCTGACATATTATCCGTTGTTATAACAATCATCTTCTTTTCTTCATCCCATGAAAACCCACTTTGATAGCTTTTAATTTCACTAAAATAGAGATATGTTTTCACCATTGTCTTACCTTTTTCTTGTGAAAATTATGCATATAGGTTCAATACAAGACTTGCATCCAACCTAAAACTAATTGGCACTAGATGGAGTGGCATTCCTTGTATTTAATCCACAAGCTTCTTATTTTATACTCGATATAGGATTTTCCCACTTAACATGCCCTTTCACGTGCAGGTTCGCTATGAATGTCGAGTCTTATTACATGGGTTAACACACTCCCTTAAATGCAGGCTCAGTATCTTCAACTTCGGGTCTTGTTAGGTGGGCTAACAACAGGCTCTCCAGGATAGAATTTGAGCTCTGATACCATGTTGAAAATTGTGATGTGGGCTCAACACAAGATTTGCATCCAACTTAAAACCAATTGACAATAGGTGAAGTGGATTTTCTTGTATTTAACCGACAAGTTTCTTATTTTTATACTGAATGTGAGATTTTCCCACTTAACACGCCCCCTCACGTGCAGGCTCACTATGAATGTTGGGTCTTATCATGTGGGTTAACAATTCTTGACTTGCTCCTTGGTTACATTAATGCCCAATGATTTGCCAAAGTAATCCATAGTTGCTTGGTACACTTGAGGCTTCCAATCTTTATCAGTTTTGAGG